AGATGGAAAAACAAACAGTCTGACTGATTCAGATTTCAGATTTCAGACGTAAAAACAAACAGTCTGACTGATTCAGATTTCAGACTTCAGCACCACCTCTTAAAATTCAGAAGTAAATTCAGACTTCAGACTTCAGCACCTCTTAAAAAACAAACGCCACCTAACTGAATTGCTAATGTAAATTGTGTCTAGATACGTGTTTAGATGGGAAACACTAAAATCGGCTCACCAGAATACGACACGTCGGTTACTTATTTATTATAAGTATAGATTTTAAAAAGTATACTAAAAACTAATAACGATAATATTTAACATAAAAATTAAAATGAGTATCAAAGTTTTTTTTTTTAAGAACACAAAATATTTTATTTGATGTGTAAGAAAATAAGAATATAATTTTTGTATTTCTTTTTCTTGCTATGTTATAGTAATACTTGAAGTATCATGTGAAAAAATAAGTTACGGTAAGAAGCATAAAAATAGATCTCAACTCTTGACACTCTTAATCTCATGTTCATCCATGAATTATGTTTTAGAAGAGAATTGGTTCGGTGCATATCGGTGTATTTCATTAGTGTTGACATCCAATTAGAATTGATCCAATAATAGAGATATCTTTTTACGCTTCTCACCATAACTTCACTTCTCATCGGAATCCAACCCTATAGTAATATTGTCAACTTATCAAATAAAGACCGGTATAAAATTACGTAATGAGTGTAGCTTACAAAAACCTTTTTTTTCGGGTTTCATATATTTCTTTCACCATTAATTTTTATTATATTTTTTAAATCAATTGAAAAGATAATGGAAATAACATTTCACACAAAATTTAATATAAAAATCAATGTTCTCGTACAAGAACTTCAAAAATATTTGTGATTTATAGGAATTCTGTATAATGATACTGACTTAGAAAAATTATATTTTTTGCTTATAAAAACTTACCGTTGGAGATACTCTAAAATCACTACACAATGTTAGTAACTTATAAAAATTATATATATATATATATATATATATATATATATATATACACATACATACTTATAAGAGTCTTCCATTATGGATGCTATTAGTTACCAAACCACATGTATTGGTTGATACCGAACATAGTATTATCCAATGAGAATTGTTACCGGGAAGAGTGTAACCGGTGAGTATGTTTACCATTTTTTATGTGTTGTCCGGATTAAACATGTTGTCCGATAAGGAAGGGATCATCGACCATAGTGTTGGCTGATAAGGGGTAGTTAT